GTGCCTACATTCGCCTTGGGGCCGGAGGGCACTCCTAACAACACCTCTTGACCCGAGGTTCGGGCTCCACATTTCAACACCCACCGTGTTCATTTTCTGGCAGTCCAGGGGTCTCTACCAAACTTTCCTCCCGCACCACATTTCCTTCCTTTTAATTCATTCCCTTTCTTTCCCTTTACAAACACATTTGTGTGTGTGTGTGTGTGTGTGTGTTCGTGTGTGTGCGCGCGCGTGTGCGTGCGCATGTGCGTGTGTGTGCTTGTTGCTCCACCTACTGTCCTTTTCACATGTTGACGATTCCCTGCTGAGAGATTCAAGGGAAGGAAAACACCCACTTTCTGGAAGCGGGGAAAGCGAAACTGAGCAGTTAACTTCCTGGTGGGAGGGAGATGGCTACCGTTCAGGATCTGTGCGAGGAAGCCACTTGCTCCATCTGCCTGGACTATTTCGAGGATCCAGTCACTATTGAATGTGGGCACAACTTCTGCCGAGCCTGCCTGACCCACTGCTGGGAGGGGTCGGAGGGGGAAGAGGTTTCCTGCCCTCAATGCAGAGAAAACGTCCGAAGGAGCCTCTTCCCCAATCGGCAGCTGGCAAACTTTGTGGAATTGACCAAGAAGCTCCGTCTTCAAGAGGAAATAATCACTGAGAGAAAGGGGGGAGCCTGTGGGAAGCACCGGGAGCCCCTGAAGCTCTTCTGCAAGGCTGATGAAGCCCCCATCTGTATGGTGTGTAAATGGTCAAAGGAGCATCGAGAGCACCAGGTGCTTCCTCTGGAAGAAGCCGCCCAGGACTACAAGGTAGCAATAGGTGGTGGTAGAAATCATTGGGGGGGGGCAGGGGATGGGGCGCCTGTTTGTGATACCTCTGGGTTGTTGACATTGTTTTTTTAATGTGCATACATTTAAAGAAATGCCAGGATTTGGGGAATGTGACATGTGCCCTTTATTGTCTCTCCCCCCCACACACACCCCTGGTAAGGAGGAAGAAATCTGGACCAGGGGGTGAAATAGTTGTCGATCCTGCCTGAAAACGTTTTCTGCTGATTCTGTCTTCGAACAGATTCCCAGAGCCCAGCAAGACATGATTTCCAGCCCAAGGTTTTCCTTATGAGTAGAGGTTGGGGGCAGTCCTGGATTTATGATGGGGGTAAAGGGGGAAACTGTCTTGCTGCCATGAAAACTTATCTTGTTGAACCGGCTCCAGATTGACTGCCTTCCATCCTTCCAAAGTCAGTAAAATGAGTATCCAGCTCGCTGTGGGAGCAAGATGTAGCCTGCATAATTAACTTGTAAACCGCCCAGAGGGTTCTTGAAGTGCTATGGGGTGGTATATAAGCAGCACACTTTGCTCTTGTTTTTTGCTTTAATTCCTAAGGGAGCCCCCGAATGTGATGTGCATTGGGGGGCCCAGAGTCTAAATTCTGCCCTGGATGAGAGTCGGGGTAAGTGTCTGTGCCTCTATGTGAGAAATATATAATAATCTCACATTCCTCAGACAATGCAACTTTCCTTAGAAATAAGATGAGCAGCTTCAGACAGCCTTTTTTTTTTACAGACACAGAGATAAATCCATCAACCGATGTGGAGTGTTCGGTGGGCTCTCCCATGTAAAAAGGAGCCCATACCTCCATGATTGGGAGGAAGCACGTTCTTCACTTCTCCTTTGCCTCTGAATTAAAAATGGACTTCTTTTTTTACCTTTCAGGATCTCATCTCCAGCCGCCTGAAGATTCTGGAGAAAGACAGAGCCAAAATTTTAACATATAAAGCAAAAACAGAAGAAGAAAGCCAAAACTTACTTGTGAGTATTCGTGTCCCTAAAAAGGGATCATTTTTTTAAAACCAACATGTGGAAAATGCTAATATATCATGATCAGAATCCAGAGCCATGAGCCAATCCTCCTTCCTAGCACTTTGTGACCTCACCCAACCCAGGCTTGTCACCTTTTAAAATATCTT